TGCCTATCCTGTTCTGTTGTTAGGAGTGAGATTGCCAGTGTGACTGATATGTCATTTACCATAAATTTCAAGTCACTGGGCCAGAGAGGAGACAAACTATGTGAGAAATAAAATTCTTCTTCTGGAGTCTGCTCCATTACATGAGCTTTTGCTGAACTCAGGTTTCGTTTAATGGGAAGAGACTACAAAGGTCAGATTGACCCCGCACTGCCTTCCTCCTGCCTGCCTGATTTGAAACTTCACTCAGGAACTGGAAGTCTGTTCTTAGGAATCCTTTGTGCTAATTCTTTTCATAAAGAAATGCACAGCATTTTCATGACTATAGGTGGTTATTACCTTCCTTACCTTGGATGTAGTGCCATTCAGTCCTGGGTTTTAGAACAGAAGGGACTCCACAGCTGGCTTGTCTCCCAGGGATCTGATGGAGTCCTCAGAATGTTTCCTCTCCCTGTCTGCTGTCCCAGGTTTGCACACGGCTGTCTGCCTTAATGGGAAGGAACCACCTTTTTTTTTTTTTTTCTTTCTTTTGTGCAGTCCCACATTTTCCTTGTTACTGTGTCTCCTTCATTTATTCTGCTTCTGCATCATCTCATCATCCCTTGTTTTCTCACACATGAAGGCATGGTCTATTCTCTATGGAGCTAGCCCCTGCACCTCTTTCTTTGTCTCTCTACTTCTCACTTTGGTTTCCTTACTTGCTTTTAGATGTCCGTTTCCTTGCGTTCTCAGGGAGCTGCTCTCATCCTCCCCGACTCCTGTACTTCACCGAGCTATAGAACATTATAGTAGCCTCTTTATCCTGGGTTTTGTTTTTCATCTAATGGTTTAGGGTCTTCTTTATGATGTGGAACTGTTGTCACTTTTGAGGTCATCTTGCTGTCACCAAGCTAGAGAAGCTCATGATAATGGTCTTGGGCTCCTCGGCTCATCTCAGTAGGAGAGATAGATGCTCTTTGGTGTCTGTCCCCAGTCATGGCCTTTGGTAGTCCTGGCTGTTCTGTGTGGACCTGGCTTCCCAGTACTGCTCTCTCCTGACTCAGCCACAGAATGGCAGAGCAAGCCCAGCCTGCTGTGCCTCTAGCATGTCTCTGTTGACGCTTCACCTAGGAAGTTGTTCTCCCTTCCTTTTCCATATTATCTTCCTCTCATATCTTTGCTTACAAGTTATTTCTGCTTATTTCTTAAGTTTTCACTCCAAATTGTCCCACACTTGAAATTCATGAAGCTGAAGAAAAGGTCACGGAAGTTCATCTCTTCCTTCCAGAATCTCTTGAGACCAGAGATAACTACCCTTGAACAGCTAGCTATTCTTTAAACCTTTTTCTGTTGAAATTTTCAGTCTTTGGTTTGGGTGTATAGAGGCAGCACTTGGGAAGTCTAAGAAATTGTGCTTTTTCTAAGTGATGGGGCGACACTCAGCGTGGTTTCATTTTTATTACTTACTGAATTTTCAGTTTCATTTCCTTCCAATTTTGAAAAGGAAACAGGAAGAGCGAGTCCAACAAGTACGAAAGAAATTGGAAGAAGCACTGATGGCAGACATCCTGTCCCGGGCTGCTGACACAGAGGAGGTAGACATTGATATGGACAGTGGAGATGACGCTTAAGAATATGATCAGGTAAGCAAACACCAGTGCAGAGACAGGCAGAAGGAAGGTGTTTGCTTTCTTGTTGGTTTCCCTTTGTGTCTCAGTAGTGTACTTGTTCCCCTCATGGGTCCTTCATGTGACCCCTCTGCATTTAATGACTCAGAAGTTATCACATCTGTCCTGATTTGGTGAGGACATTCTTGACATAGTAGCCACGTGAAGGGATCTTTAGTCTACTTCATATTGTTTTAATCAATGGAAAAAGATGCCTATGGTGTCCTGAGAGAAAACAGGAAGGAGAAAAGGACTCTTGGGTTCCTGGAAATTGCTGGTCTCCTGTTGCCTTCTGCAGGATGCTATGCCTTCCTTAGAATTATAGCAGTAAGATAAGCAAAATCTTACCCTTTAGTCGATTCTTCATACTACATGGTAGACACAGACAGAACAGGAAGAGCATTGACAAGTATAACATGAATTTACCTTGAAGATGCAAATGTGGGCTCTGTTTATGTGTGTACTCACACTCTGTGGCTTTAATGTATCATCTTGCTTTTCAGCCTCTCTTTTATGTTTTGCCAAGATTTGTTTTGATTTCTGCCTCCCCTATGCCAATGGCTTTCTCTCCCAGGAAACCAAAGTCAGAGGGAGACCCAGCAGAGCAGACTATGATGTGAAAGGTCAGCAAAGCTACTGTGAGGAAGGGTCGTTTGCCTCATTCCTGAAAGGCAAGCAGAATTGAGTCAAGCGGAGCACAGGTAGAAAGTGGCTTGGTTAAAAGGGTTAGCAGAGAGAAGGTTGGCTTCTACAGAGAGAAGATCAGAGGTTGGAAAGTAGACTTCCTGTTGCTTAGGGAGCAGGGAGGAATGTTTGGGCAGCAGGCCTAATCAGGAAGACCCATGAGTCATAGTGCAGAACTTTTCCCAGAAGATGTGATCATAGTTGCTTATTTGGCTTGGAGTAGAGAAAGCTTGGAGGCAGGGAGACCAGTTAAGAAGTTGCTGTGGTAGTCTAATAAGGGACAGTGGTGACTTTCTGAAGGTGACAGGACATGCAAGTAGAAAAGGGTAGTTCTGAGACATGTTTGGTGGTAGAATCATCCTGACTGGTGGCTGATTGAGAGTGAGCTTGAGACAGAAGAGGGAAGAATGGGTTTCCCCTGGAGCTACTAACTGGGGGGCCTATTCACTAAAGGAGCAGAGCACAAGTAGGGAGTTGAGAGAAGATGGGTTTAATTGCCAGCACCACCTTCCCTTCCCTTGAGTGCCTCCCCTTACTTTAATCGTGCCCAATACCACGATGGCATTGCAACCAAGTAGTAACTATAATGTCTGCTCTTTACCTGTCCAGGGAAAGCAAACATCCAGTCATGTAATTTCTTGACTATCCATTTACTTTAGATCCAGTTCAGTCCAGTTTTAAGTATTTTATTTCCTTACTGGGGGAATCTGGGTTAGTCCTATTTAAACCTGTATTTACTCATTGAGGGTACAGAGACACTGTGTTTATGTTTTGCACTTTGTTTTCCAGGCTGAGAGGTTGCACTTCAGGAATCTGATGAGTTCATTCAGTATGTGTTATGTCTCTTAGAGAGAGAGAGGACTGGAGCATGTTCCTGTGGTCTGAAGCCCTGGCCCACAGTGTATCTAGAGCCAGTGAGGGAATGAGTCTGCTTGGCTGTTGTTCTCATGCCATATTTTAGGCCATTTGTCAAGATGTCATCTGAGATGTCATCTCTTTTGTTAGTTCTGTTTCTGTTTTGTTTTCTGCTCTTTCAAAATTTACTCCTGAAATCAACACAGGCAGTCAGGAGTCCTGTAGCCAAGACAAAACTAGATCTTTGCTTCCTTGGTGCTTACCTTCTAAATTGCTTGGGCAAAACACTCAGACAGCTTATAGTAGCACGGAAGTGTTTTTGAGACAGGGTTTCTCTGTATTGCTTTGGAGCCTGTCCTGGAACTTGCTGTGTAGACCAGGCTGGCCTCGAACTCACAGAGATCCACCTGCCTCTGCCTCCGGAGTTCTGGGATTAAAGGAGTGTGCCACCAATGCCTGGCCAGCAAGCAAGTATTAAGGCACCCCTCTATGGATGGGAGCTGGCACCTGCTCATTGCCTCGCATAATGTACATGCATCTCAGTAGTAACAAACTGAGTATGGAAGAGTGATTGAATTTTAATTAATTCTTTAAAAGTGCCATTATTTTTATATGTTCAATAAGCATAGACTTACGAATATTATATTCTGACCTCAACAAGGCATTGTTATTAGACCAGGCCATCAGACTTGTAGCTTGTGGTAGACTTAGAATACTTCTTAAGCATCCAAATTTACATCCACATAACCTCCTTGTTTACCCTGTATGCACACAAAGTCTTTAAGAACCTGGAGCATGATTTCACAATCTGATTCCATGTTCTTCCTTATGTGTACAAGAGGTGGGGCTCTACCTCATAGCTAGATAACAGGTGGGGCAGTCCATCTTCACATGGCTCATAACAGATGGAGTCTTCTAACCTTCGGTTTTCTCAGCATGCTAGCCTCCTCAGATTGGTGCTTTTTCTAATATTCTATATATGCAAGAATGACACACATTTGTTTATTTAGGTTATTTATTTAATTAACATGCCAAGATCTTCTGTAATACTTAATCTTACACTTATAGATGAGTACCCATGTTATCAAGCATTTTAGGAAGATTTTTGAAAAGGAGATGGTGATAAACACAAATGTGTTGAAACTTGCCACTGTGAATGAACTGTATTAAAGACACAAATTGTTCAGTTCGCAGTTGCACAGCATCATCTCATTCTGGTAATCAGAGAACACTCCAGCACATCTGCAAAGACTATAAAGTGAAGTCAATCACTGTGGAAGTATAAGAAATCATTATTAAGTAGAATTTTCTCAAAAATATGTTTGGGTTTGGCTGTTGTCTGTTAGGATATTTTATTTACATGCCCCTTTAGTTTCCCTTTTATGCTGTTTTAGCTATTGTAGATCAGAAGAAATATTATATAAGCAATAATATATATGATTTTTGACAGTGAACTGGGTATTAAAAATCATCAGTGTTCAGCCATCCCCATCCAGTCATGGAGCTCAGTGTTCTACCAGGACTGTAAAGATGGGATTCAAAGTGAGTCTTACTGACCTTTCACCTAAGAAATCATTGTTCTTCTGTCTTCACAGGTAACTTTCAACTGAACTTCCCCAAGAGCAAATTGCTAGAAATGGAATTAAAACATTTCCACCGGGTTTCGCCTGTAAGAAAAAAGTGTACCTGAGCACATAGAGCTTTTTAATAGCACTAACCAATGCCTTTCTAGATGTATTTTTGATGTATATATCTATTGTTCCAAATGACATTTATTTTGAGTCCTAGGACTTAAAATTAGTCTTTTATAATATCAAGCAGGACCCTTAAAATGAAGTGGAGCTTCTGATGCCAGGTGCAATCTACTGGAAATGTAGCACTTACATGAGATATTTGTTTCCCCCACAGTTTTAATATAACAGATCAGGAGTACCAAATAAGTTTCCCAACTAAAGATTATTGTGACTTCTCTGTATATAAACAGATTTTTATACTTTATTGAAAGAAGATACCTGTACATTCTTCCATCATCACTGTAAAGACAAATAAATGACTATATTCACAGACTGATTGGAACTTCTTCTGTTAAAGAACACATGCAGGAATAGCTCCTGGATAGCATTCCCAATCCATGTTCAAATGTGACCCTGGGCCTTTGCTTGGAAATGGAGGTGGTGGGAAGTTGCTGGTGTACTGCAGTGTGCCTGCAGGCTTCTCTTCACAGGACTTGCCTCACCAGAGTTTCACAGGGTCGCCTACCATACAGTTTTCTTCTCTTGCCTGTGGCTAGTACTTTGAATAGTGCTACAAAGTAAGGCTCTTTCTTCCCTAAGACATGAGTTAGGTATACAAGACCCCCTTGTAGGTGCTGCCTGAAGCTACACTTGTTTTGACTAGAGTGTTTTCCCTTTCTAATAGCCACTAAGCTTACTAAGTCAATAGAGCCTTTGAGATCCTCTCCCACCATGAAAGGCAGCCTCCCAAAGTTGTTTAATGAGCTACATTGTGATGCTTTACTAATCAGTATCCCACGAAACTATTAATTTTTCTTCTATTAGAAACTAACTTTATTACCACTGATATAGCTTGATATTTATTTATTAAAACTGGCATTAAATTATTTGGTGAGTTTTTAAATTAAAACATACTTAAATTGATCTGAGCCAAAGACAAGAGGGAGTGGCTATAAGGAAATTATGAAAAATGGATTCAAAATAATGTGGCTCTGTAGGTACAGTTTATGTGTTTATGTACTGGACCTGTGCTGTATTCATGTTCATTTTAAATGAGCACATATGCTAAGCATGCATGAGTCCCTACGTCCAGGTCCCAGCACAAAATATAGAACAAAATAAAATTAGACCCGAAGTAATGTGGTCTAGGTTGTGACTGACCATCTATGAATCTGTGTCACCTATACCCTTTATTACCAGTACCTCCAGTGCCCTTTCATTCCCAGGGAAGGAGGGAGCATCAGGATTGTCAAAGCTGCATGACTGGCTGAGTCTAGGCTGCTCTGCTTTTGAAACATCATTGCCAAACATTAACAATACTTGTTGGAATTTCTGATTTTATTAAGTTTTTATGTCTGAGCCTTAGGACCCCAGTTTATTTGAAACATCCCTGCTGGTAGATGAGTGGTCAGATTTGCAGGTTCTGGGAGTATTATAGCCAGATGATAACTGCCAGGGGCACATCAGAGTGACTCTGGGTAAGTGTGTTAGAGTTAACATTGATAATCCCTTAAAGAGCTAGTACTGCTATTAGAATGACTTTCCAAAAGTTGTTCTCCTCCTATCAAAGACCCTGACTTTTTGCATGCTACCACTTCTTGGTATCATATCTTGGCAATCATAATTCTTTTTACAGCACAATCCAACCCATGATACAAACTTTTTAAACAGACATTTTGAGAGCAAACTGACAGTGTACATACTACAAAGCTTTGGTAGTTTTTCCTTGTATACTTTGCTCAGGTAGAAACAAGGTGTAAAAGCCATTATAAAGTGATGTCTTAGTGACCATCACATGAGGCTGTGATGTTCTCAGTATACCCATAGACATGTCCAACATTAAATTCATTATTATATCACCATAAACCAATCACCATCTTGGACTTTTCAGTTGGCTCAAAGTCAGCTTCAGCTGGACAAGACAGAAATGCAGGAATGATTTTGGATGTTGCTCATTCCCTTGTTTGTAGCCTCTGTCAGTGTTCTAGAAGTACCGAGTTAACCACACCCCTCACATCCTTCCTTCCACAACCACTTCGTTCACAGGAACCTTCTTCCCTCTTTCTGGACTTTTGAATAGCTTCCTTTCCCCCAAACTGTTCACTATCCCTTGTTTTCCTCTCTATTCCCTGCTTTTGTCTCCAGAGATATTCTCTAAAGAAGCAGAGGTGATCATGCCCCTTCCCTGCTCAGAGTTCCTCACTAGCCTTTAAATGCAGGTTCAAAATGGCAGAATGTGAATTTTGCAGTTAGAGCGCCTGTGTCTCATCCTAGACTTGGCCTTTGTGTGACATGTCAGGGCCCTCGGTCTCCTTGAGTTTATTCCTCCTTGGTGAAACAGTAATAACAATACCTACCTCATAGAGTTGTGAGGATTCCTCGAGATGCTGTTTGCAAGGTGTTTGGTACAATGCCTGGCACTTAGTGGGTGCACTCAGGAAAACACTGTCACTGTCATCCCTGTTGCTTTTGAGAGGTGTTTGTCAGTAGCCCTGTCTTTGTAGCCTTATTTCCAGTACCCTATTTCTCTATAGAAAATTCTGAAATATGTATTTGATTTGTTGATTCTTTGTCTCTTTAGTAGAATGTAAGCTCCTTGAGAGCAAGGCTGTTCCCTGGTACAGCCCCAGAACTTAGCTTGGATTGCACGTAGTCAGACAAGCACCTAATCTGTTTCAAAACAGAAAAAAAAAAAGGAAGAATGGTCAAAAGACTCTAAATGATCCTGTAGCTGTAGCCTCACCCTGCTACTGTCCCCATTGCCTTTCACCTCAAGAAAAGCCACTTGCTTTGATGTTCTGCTGGGATTTGGTGTCTGCGCCCCTCTTGTTCCCTTTGCCTGCCTGTCTACATGACAAGTTCCTGGTCACAGGTGTCAGCCCAATGGCTGTCTCTTCCATGCTGTGGCCCTGATTCTCCAGGCAGATGCTCTTTCTCTTGTCCAAGTTCTCACTGTATTTCATAAATACCTCTGTGGAGGCACTTTATTGTATTGTTAAAAATGTTTTGCATGTCTGTCTCTAGTATGACCTGTAATCAACATCAAAGCAGAGCTGGTGTCCTTCCATCTTTAAGCCCTCCCCAGGATCTTGAACAATGCCTGGAAATGTGCTTGTCATTAAGAATTTGTTGAATGACTTTGTGAGTGAATAAAGACTCATGCAGTTAAAAAACAAGTTTTATCAAGACAGATTGTGCCCTATGGCTTCCAGAAAAAATTTTTTCCTCTAGAAGCATTATATAATCTCTTTGAATGTCATAATGTTTAAATTTTAAAAATAATACAAGTTTCATATAGATCTTCATAAATGATTGCAAAAGATATCAAAAGCTTTGTGGTCTTTCAAATGCTATAGAGTTCAGAATAAATATTTGCACTATTTCCATAGTCAATGCTACGAGGAAATGTACAGCAATAAATTTTGAAGCTTTAAAAGATATTTGTGTAAGTCATCGTCAATGACTTAGCCCACGAAGGACAGCCCTGACTTCCTGGACACTAAGGACTTTAGACTGGGTTGCAGGGCCCCAGAGCTTTCAGAGCATAACTCTTAACACCATCACTGCTACTGAAGCAGTTGCTCAGTCCTTCTGTTGTGTCTGCCTGAGTCCTCTAGAGTCAGGAGATGATGCTGTGACCTCCGGAGCCCCCTGCCTCCCAGCCTCCAGCAGGCCTGTCCTCCTGCTCACTTGTGCCACTGGGATATATATATCTCCCATACACAGAACATTTCAGTTGCTGCACAGAGTCCACAGGAGGGAGCATCTGTCAGTTACACCAGGGTATGCCCTGCAGGGTTGAAATTGGGAATAGAGGTGATTAGTCAGCACACTGCACAGTCTGTGACAAAAATACTTCATTTGTACAGAGTATGTGCTCTTTCATTATTATCTTTTAGTTTAGTTTTTAAAGAGGTGATAAATAGGAAAATTTTTATTTATTCTTACATTTATATAACTTTTTACAACTTAACACTTTCATCACCATCTTTGCATTTTTAACTGTATAACAGATACATATTTTTATTCTCATTGAAGATTTAAGGAATCTAAGACCCAGATACATAGATGGTTTATGGACATAAACATGGGGCATAAACATGAATTTGAATACAGCAGTATGTTTCTAGAAGCATTTCCCCTCCACATTGTCCCTGCCCAGGCCTCTACCTCTCTGTGACAGAGAGCAACACATTGTTTGTGGGTACTGAATTCTTGCTCCCTGAAAGCTGATGCCAGGTGGAGGGATGCTGCTGCTCCTGGGTGTGACTGGCCAAATCTTCATAATGGAGGACTCTCACTGAAAAATCCTTTTCAAGGATGATTTCCTACCTAAACATAGTTCTTCCATTACAGAATGTTGGGGATTATTTTTTATGTGGAGTTTAGTGTACTATTGCTGAGATTTTCAGGTTTTGCCAATGCTCTGAGTTCTGTGGCAAGATGCAACCGAACCATAAGCCCCAGTGAAAGAATACTTAAGTTGGTATGCAGTAGGGTATTACTAACTCATTTATTGACAGCAGGAATATTTGACTCAAAATTTATTTTCATCTCATTTTGGGGGGGATTTTTTATATATAAGTGTTTTACTATGTACAAGTCAGCAGAGTAGTTGGTGTGTACAAAGTTGTAAATAAACCTAAGCTTGGGATACATGCTTTTATTTTGAAAGAGATTTAAGGACACTACTCCCCAAAAGAGCTTCCTTTTATTTCTGGAGTTAAGGAGGCTGCCAGTGTGTTGTCATAACTTGCATACTTTTATGATTGTATGTCCTTCTGAGGCCATTTCTGTTACTCCTGTGGAATTCTCAACAGGGAATAAAACACAATGAGCCATCAAAGGTTGGTCTAAGAACCATCAAGGTTGGGCAAGTGATTTCACTCTATCACACATTCAAACTCATTTGTATCTTAATTTCTACCTTAATTCAGTGGATGAATACTGCAAGCTTATCTCTTATTCCACATATGCTAAAATATTTTATGAATGGTAGCAACTACTTTCTAAACAAAACGAAACCCAAGCAAAACCAAACCCCAAAAAGACCCAGGTGATTTTAAAGTGCTGAAATTGCTTTTTGGGAGAGTTCCCTTGATTTTTGTTGACTGGGTATATACCCCTTTTACTGAGAGAGAACCCAAAGTTGGGGTTGTATGTGTACGATTTAGGGAGGTGTCAAAGTGATGGTAAAGCATGGTGTGACTTTAAAAAAGACCTCAGTCCCAACAACTAGTTGTATGACAATAGAGACTTGTGAGAACACCTACACCTAACACCTCACCCCTAACCAAGAAGCTATCTATAAATGGATACCTACTTGCAAAGAAAAAA